ATATATATATATATATATACACACACACACAGTATATATATATATATATATATATATATATACAGTATATATACATATATATATATATACATATATACATATACAGATATATATACAGATACACAGATATATACATACACTAAAATAAACCACTACTTACTACTTGTACTACTATTCTTTCTTCGCGGTTTTTCACTTATTGCGGGTCTTCAGGGTACGGATCCCCCGTGATAAATAAGGGAAGAATGTATCAGACATCTGGCAACACTGATGCCATGTATGTCACTGCCGCTGTGACTTTCGGCTCAGTGATACGTGTACGTCCGCAGACAGTTCAGTCTGGAGTATGATAACTGTTCCATCGAAAACGGTGAATACAAGAACCGTTTAGACCGAGGAAACTGGGCCTCCGCCTTTCTCCCTGAGTGCAGACTGTCAGGCAGCTTGACCTGTTTTTATTCATACTGAATGAGGAGCTCCAGCTTCCACACACACATCTGAAACCTAAAACGTGTGTGTGTGTGTGTAACCACTACCTGTGCAACCCCGACACACGAACAATGAAGTAATGAGTCTATTAATTTGTCCTAACTGATGCTGCCTGGGGCGATGCAGTTACAGGGGCAATGCTGGGGCACTTAAAGGGGCGGACAGGGTTGTGTGTGTGTGTGTGTTTGTGTTTGTGTTTGTGTTTATGTGCGTGTGTTTGTGCAGTCATTCTTCGGGGGGTGTTTAAAAGTTCTTTAAGGGCCATTTCTGGTTATTTTCACATGAATCTCAGTTTACACCGAGACACAAAGACAGAAGGACTTTAGGCTGAAGTTCAGAGATGAGGCGGCGACAACACCCAGCTGCATTATGGGTAATCTGACCCCAACCAGAGAGAACAACAAGAAGAAGAAAACAGAACGTAAGAAAATACCTGAAAATATCAAAAGGAAGAAAGAAAAGAACGTTGGACAAAAGTGTAAAGAAAACCCACAGGACAAAAGACAGAAGACAAAGGAGTCTTACGTGTGCAGGAGACATGTGGAGGGTCGGAGTCTGCACGGCTGTAACCTGGGAGACAGGGACAGTAGGAGGAGCCTGGGATCCGCGTGTTGCTATTGGCTGGGCATGGAGAACAGCCGCCATTTCCTGGACCGACCTTAAAGTGTCCTGATGGACAGGCTGAGGACACACAGGATTAGATCTACAGTTAACGTCGCAAACACCCAACATGTCTCTGTGAATATGAATGGGGACAACAAGGTGCGTGTGCATGTGTGTGTGTGTGGGGGGGGGGTGTGCTAGTAGGATCTTGCAGAGACAATAAGAGACAGGAAGTAACCTTGGCTTCAACAGGATGTGGAAAATGCTGCCGTGATGTCACCACAGCCTCCCTGCCAACCGTCTCTGTGAGGTTGACCTTTGACCTCTGCACTCTCCCCCCTCCAGCAGTACTTCCTGCTGGTGGTCAGCTGACCTCAGATCTCACACAAAATACCAGGAAGTGTCAAACACCAAACTGTGTCCTCCATCGACCTCGCCATGCTTGAGTCCCCCATCAGACGTCCTCACAAACACAGAAGACGAGGCCAGGCCAGGGACGAGGAGGCGAGAGGAGACAAGAGGAGGCGAGACGAGACAAGAGGAGACGAGACGAGACAAGAGGAGATGCCAGATAGGTTTATTTACTAGGATGTAAACAGACCCTGTGTGTTCTGTTTGCTAACAGATCCGTTTATTTGAGTCAATGAGGACGTAATCTGATTACTTTTGACTAGCCTGTAAAACAGGATGTAATCTGATTACATCCTTTTAGTTGGTGTTAACTACTTTTCCTTATGTGTTTGGACTTTTAGAGGCTGCAAGCGAAGGCACTAATCTTTCAGCAGTCACTGTCCTCACCAAGCAGCGAGTGCTGCCATAAGCCCCGCCCTCGCTCAAAGCTCTGACAGATGATCCCGCCCACAGAGTGGGGACACACTCACAATGGAGACACACCTACAAGTGAGAAGAACCGAATAGAAACAAGGAGATCAGAATTTCTTTAGTGCCAAGTCAAAACAGAAGTCGTCACAGAGGTCTGTACAAAAACATCCATGTGGTTCTTCTGCTGTCTGCCGGGACAACAGTCAGAGAGCCCCGAGTGTGGAGAAACAAGCCGGAGAAGTCATCCAGGATAGGCTCAAGTCTTAGCCAAAGACCAGGCTAAAGATTAGGCTAAAGAATGGATTAAATACTAGACTAAAGACTAGGCTAAAGACTAGGTTAAAGACTAGGCTAAAGACTAGGCTAAAGACTAGGTTAAAAACTAGGTTAAAGACTAGGTTAAAGACTAGGCTAATGACTAGGTTAAAGACTTGGCCAAAGACTAGGTTAAAGACTGGGTTAAAGACTAGGCTAAAGACTAGGTTAAAGACTAAGCTAATGACTAGGTTACAGTCTTGGCCAAAGACTAGGTTAAAGACTGGGTTAAAGACTAGATTAAAGACTGGGTTAAAGACTAGACTAAAGACTAGGCTAAAGACTAGGTTAAAGACTAGGTTAAAGACTGATCTAACGACTGAACAAAAGACTAGGTTAAAGACTGGGTTAAAGACTGAGCTAAAGACTGGGTTAAAGACTGGGTTAAAGACTGGGTTAAAGACTGGG